TGCACAGCAATGTCACAACTCAGACTATATGTTTAAAATAATAATTCTAGCCTTTCACAAGATATTGGCAAATCATTTTTATTGTAACTGATCATGCATTACTTCTCTACATACAATCATTCATCTCACAATCAAATAAGCAGGTTTCAAAAGCCAACATACAAAGTGCTGGAGAAAATGATCTGATGTCCTGCATCATACCCATTTTGGCATTGCACATATTTCTCAGGAACAGTTCTAAACGGCATGGTTCATTTTGTTCTGTGCGCTTCTGACTTGGTTTCAGTTCATCTGAAATACCTGATATGCAATTCAAGCAATCAATAGGCTGTGGAGACATTCATTCTGTACAGCTGTTAGACAGTCGGAAGATTCTGCAGTAAAACGTCATGTAACAGATGGCAAGTGAGCTCTCTGGCTCTCTTCTAACTGTCACATCTTGTGCCTCTTGCCCAGATATACAAACCTGCCTGCACAGTGTAGAGGAGAGTAAGCTACTGCTGGATGAATACAATTTGCATCACTTACATCTTTAAGAAGAGGAAAAGGGAGTCAGTATAGGTCCAAAATCTGAGACAACATTGAAATTTACATTGAAATTGAACTGATATGTGAATATTTTTCAATGAAAATCATTCCAAATTTGGATTGTGTAAGAGTCCATGTTTTTGACCTTTTAAACTCTGAAAACCTTAGCTAAACATTTAAAGAAAATTGTGAAATTATTTTACACATTTAAAATCTCAGTTTTCTATCTTCTGGTTTTTAAGATGTTTCAAGAGTTCACACTTAGATATTGCTTGATAATAATAGCAGGTTTAGCATGCTGTCCCGGGAGAGAACCCTGAGCTTGGAGAACCCAGGGCTCCCGCTTGGTCAATGAGCATGTGAGGGGATACGAGATCAGTTAGTTCTCAAGAGATCCCATTGGTTTCAAGAGTTCACACTTAGCTAATGATTGATAATAAAGCTAGTTTGGCGTGCTGTCCCGGAAGAGAGCCCTGAGCTTCCTCGAGCCCTGGGCTCCCTCCCGTTGCAAGGCGAGAGGGGAGTTTGAGCTCAGGTAGATCTCGATGACTCCCCCTCTTGCTTGTTGTAGCTAAGTGTCAGATATGGATGCTGAAAGGTGTACTCAGAGTTTAGCTAAATTATTTGGATTAATTGTTTAGAGTGCTTGTTTTTGAACTGTGGGAGGAAATCGGAGGACCCGGGGAAAACCCACGCGACCATAGGGAGAACGAGCAAACTCCGCACAGAAATGGCGTCTGGTTTGGAAAGGAATTAAACCAGGGGCATTCTTGCTGTGAGGCAACAGCGCTAATCGCTGGCCACCGTGACGCCCGTTTGAAAGGAGGGAAAGTCGGGTAGGGTGGGGGGTTTCTTCAAGACGAAGATATTGAGATGAGAAAAGTCTGGTTATTTATAGTGAGTTAAGGATCGTCTGATTGGATAATCTGTCATTAGCTAAAGTTGGAACAGCTGTGAACAATCATAAGCACGTGATCCTCTCGAAATTTGTTTATAAATAAACTTCACAAAGTAGGAAAAGGGGGGAGATAGGGTGGATGGGGGGCATTCTTCAAAAAAAAGAAGACGAGGGAGTAATGCTAGTGAAACAGAGGCCAGCTAGTAAGTCCTGTGCAGGACAGCGACAAATGCTAGAGGTCCTGGTCTATAGCCTCCTTGGTAGAACACCTGACTCCCATGCGTATTTATAGTGAGTTTGGAATAATCCAATTGGCTTACTAATGATTACAGATAAGAGACAAGCCGTGACCAATCATATCAGGTGCTCCTCTCGAAATTAGTTTGTGATATTTCACTAATTATTTAGGAGAATGTAAAGCAGATTTTTCATCAACCATTCTTCAAAAACCTTCTGCTGATCTGGTGTTCAAAAAACATTTATCCATTCTTTTGGAAAGTTATGATACAGTTTTTTCATGACGCTTTGGCTCGGTGGCTCAGTGGTTAGCACCATCACCTCACAGCAAGAAGGTCACTGGTTCGAGACCCTTACCCACGCTTTTGGAAATATATTAGGAAGAAGCATTCATTTATACCCATAAATAACAGAATAAACAATATATGATGTAAAGACTTAAACTGTTTTAAATATCTAAATGTTAATACCGTAACTTTTCATTTGATGCATCCTTACTGAATAAAATAATGTAAAACCTTATTAAATGGGCGACACAGTGGTGCAGTAGGTAGTGCTGTCACCTCACAGCAAGAAGGTCGCTGGTTCGAGCCTTGGCTGCGTCAGTTGGCGTTTCTGTGTGGAGTTTTCATTTCCAAAGACATGTGCTACAGGTGAATTGAATAAGCTAAATTGGCCATAGCATATGTGTGTGAATGAGTGTGTATTATTGTACTCGTTGTGGGTTGCAGCTGGAAGGGCATCTGCTGTGTAAAACATATGCTAGATAAGTTGGTGGTTCATTCCGCTGTGGCGACCCCTCATAAAATAAAGGGACTAAGCTGAAGAAAAATTATTGAATGAAAATCTTATTGACCCCAAAACTCATCAACCATATAGTGACACTGATTCTAGGTCAGACTAGACTAGACTAAAATAAAATGTTACGTTTATTTCACAAATCGGCTAGCTGAATATGCGGCAGTTTGTATTGTACAGATGGCCATGCAGTGCAGTTTGGATCATCTCGAATCATACCAGAAATTCAACATTTTACAGAGACTTGTGGAAAGTGAGCACAGCTGTCATTAAACCCAAAGAGGGTTTAACCCAAACCATGAAATAACAGTTCTGAAATTCACCTTCAGACTAAACATGTACATGTACTACTGAAAGTCTCAGACTTTGGACCCCACCATAAATGTCCCACAATGACATCTGTGCATTTTTATTATCCTAAAAAGTGCTAGTTTGGCAAACAAACCCAATTATAACGTCCTCCGACTACAAAAATACTCCAATCAACCAAAAGAGTTTGTCAAAGGGGGTGCAGCAAAGCCTTTCCAAGCACCCCAATCTCATAAACAGCCCTGAGCTTCAGTTCTCCATTCTCTTTACCTTTAGAGCAGCAATGGATGGTTAGATTACAGCATTCCGCACATAAAAGAGACTTTGTGTACAAGCCTACATCTGCATTATAAAAGTAATAATACACTGTAATAAATATCCATAAATTAGCAGTTTTCATTATTTTGTATTCAATGTCATTTTCCAGTTTACAGTATTTATGCTTTTGAATTGCATTATAAGACATTGACCTTTCTTCACAACAACTTTTAACCTTGAAATGTTAAAAAAGTGACTTTTATTAACATTTGAATAGTTTAAAGCCGGGATTTTTAAACTTTTCAGCCCACGACCCCCAAAATAACAATGCCAGTGACTCGCGACCCCTACATTTCTCAGAAGTGTTTATAAACATACAAATGTTGCATACACAACAATATGCCTTTATAAACACGAGCATATTGACAACACAAAAAAGTGCAACAGTCTAACAACCATAGGCTATAATAAGTCATTCTATAATAAGTCATATTAATTTGTTTAATTTAATATTAACCCTATCTAATGATAGCGAATAGCTTTCAGCACAAGTGTATTCTTGGTTTGATTTTGGAGACCACCACCACGATCATCCTCCATATTCAGTTGTGTCAAGTTAAACATGGTGCTATAATAATATAAATCTGCTGCCGCTTACGCTATTGCTGTTTTATTAATCTAACTTAAACACACAGTCCTATGATAATAAATTAAAAGGCTGATGGCCTTTTATTTGCATGTTGTCGCTTTTTAATTTGTTTTTAATGTAACTATAGGAGGCGAGGCAGTGGCGCAGTAGGTAGTGCTGTCTACTCACAGCAAGAAGGTCGCTGGTTTGAACCTCGGCTCAGTTGGCGTTTCTGTGTGGAGTTTGCATGTTCTCCCTGCCTCCGCGTGGGTTTCCTCCGGGTGCTCTGGTTTCCCCCACAGTCCAAAGACATGCGGTACAGGTGAATTGGGTAGGCTAAATATACCGTAGTGTATGAGTGTGATTGTGTGTGGATGTTTCCCAGAGATGGGTTGCAGCTGGAAGGGCATCTGCTGCGTAAAAACTTGCTGGATAAGTTGGCGGTTCATTCTGCTGTGGCGACCCCGGATTAATAAAGGGACTAAGCCGACAAGAAAATGAATGAATGAGTAACTATAGGGGAATTGCCAGCCTACATCACTCATGACGTCACACGGGTTTAACCGTGCATACCGTTTGCAAAAAAACACCGGTTATGATAGCAAACATGTCATGTTGTGCAGTAGGATGCCAAATTCTGAAGTCCAAAAATAGAAAAAAAAAATTCTGTACACCACTTTGCTTTTAATACCAACTGCAGACATCTGTGGCTAACAGCCATCATAAGAGCTGAATTGAATGAGGACCTAATTAAAAATGCTTGACTCTGCAGTTCTTATGTTATATCAGGTAAGTTCACGCAATCCTGAATCATACACATTATTCATTTTTGATTGCGCCAATGATTTCAGCAAAAACAGTTACATATGGTTAATTAAACAGCGGACACAGAATGCTTATAAAATGTAAACATGTACGTTCACATACCCTGCCATACAGGTGCAGTTCACTGTCAGAATGTAGTTGTTTTGCTTGTTGATGATTACCCAGGCCTTGTATAGCTCTGTCTTCTTTTCTTGTTTTGGGCTAGGCAGAACCAGAAAGTTTTGAATTTGGTAATCATGAAACATTATTTCTTGCACATGACTACACAGAACACAGTTGTAGGCATCCAAAGACTTGCTAGTTAGGCCTTTAACTTCTCTTTTGTAAATTCACTTGGAGTTTCAATGATATAGTTGTAAATTTGGGGCTGGATGCTTGGCCATTTTACTCATGCAATATCCAATATCTTATCCTTATCCAATATAATAATATGTAATCAATATAACTTATCTCCAATACAACAACAAACTCTGTTCCGCATCGAATGTCATTCCCTCGCTGTAAATGCTAGTGCTCCCGTTTTTTTTTTCTGCAACCTCGCTGTGAGCGCATCCTGAATGTTTACAAACCAGTAATTCATCTATTAACTACCATTTTTCTGTGGGTTTTAGATAAAATATGGCAATTCTAATAGTTATTTGACTTCACCTTCACCAATATATTTGAAATCACCAAGCGACCCCCCCTATCATTGTCCCCCACTTTGAGAACCAGTGGTTTAAAGTGTTATATTGTATGGGTTGGTGTTGTATATCACGATACAAAAACCTTATAGAATAACCTGCCAGTACATTTTCTGTTATTTTACAGACTAACTTCTTTATATATGTTATATCAAACAACTAAAATGTCAATAAAAGTCACTTTGTTAAACTTTAAGAGTTGAATTTTCAACATAAAAAGATGACAGAGCAGAGATCAAATGCAATTCACAACTGTAAATAACCGGAAAACTCTTGTGAATCACAAGAAAAAAGGAAACTGTTAATTAACAGTTATTTTTTTCCAGTGTAGCTAAACTACGGGCAGTGCAATCTGGCTTTTCATGAAGCCAACAGTGTTCGTTTGTTAGCAAAGGTTATATTTATCTGTCCACGCTGGTTTCTGCTAGCCTGTTATTCATTATACCCAAAGCTCCGACTCCACCAGAGAATCCATTGTGTCTGTTTGTTGAGCCGCCCGGCCGGGGATGACCATTGGCAGTCTCAGACAGCTGTTTCTGCATGATCGCCAAGTTGACCTTATTAGCCGCCAGGAAGTCTCTCATGGAGATCATCTCTCCAGACAGTCTGCGTCCATCCGTCTCACTGTCGTTCACTGCGTCCGTGTCTATGGATATGTTGCGGACGCGTGTTCGGAGATGGCTCGGCATGACTGCGTTCCTGCGGGGCCGAAGAGACCTCCTGTGACAGTGACGACAAGGTATCTTCAGCTTTTTCAGGAGCCAGTTGAGCACCTGCTTGATCACGATGGAGATGACGTTGAATAGGGAGTAAATGCAGCAAACGCCCATTAAAATAAACAGGAAGTTGCAGATTCGGTAGACGGTTTGGTTCTCGTAAATGGCTCGTTGGCTGCTGACCATATCCCCAAAACCAATGGTGCTGAACGCCACAAAGCAGAAGTAAAGCGAATCCAAGTATCGCCATCCTTCGATTGAAGAGTACATGGCCGAAGCACAGCAAGAAATGATTATTGCCGCCACGCATAAGATCAGCATCACACAGTAAACCGAGGGCTTCCATCCTGCAAGACTGTCTTCATGGTTTAGCCTTGAGTCCTGTCTGCTGTCGTGAGGTAAAACTCCCTTGCGTCGACGTTGGATTTCATGGCACGACTTCAGCACGAACGCCAACACTGTTATTATTCTCTCCAGGAAGAGATTGAAAAATAAAATGGTGGCTGCGCAGCCGATGAGGCCATAAAAGATCAGGAAGATTTTGCCACCGACCGTGGCGGGGGTGGTCATTCCAAACCCTGTGGGACATACGAGAGGAAGAAGCATTAATTTATACCCCGAATAAACAATATTTGCCGCAGGCTGTTTATTGAGCCCAACCGTCTCACGCTGTTTTCTTCTTCCTCGAAGCTGGAGAAGAAAGTGTTGCTATTGGTGACAGATTCTGAAACTTCTCCAACCTTTTCCTTGTCGTGCTGATTGAAATGCTAATAATAAGTGGATTGCGTTATTATTATTCTCATAGATGTTTCCCCCCTCCACATAAAAGCCCCCATTGAGGAGGACATTGTGAAGACAAGCTCATTAACATCCTCAGTTAAGGTCTGAAGACATGGTGATCACTGAGATATGCAATGAAACCACTAAACTGCATGTGGGGGAGAAAAAAAACAAGGCAATAGCAGAAGCAGAGGTCTTAGAAATAAATGTACTGAAGCTAAAAGTACACGTTAGCACCTAAAAGTGTCTGTTTTGAAAGGTAAAAGGTAAATAAATATCCGTCAATAAACAGGTTTCATATTTGAGATGGTGTTTTCTGTTTATTTATGTTTGTGAATTGCATTATGGGAGTTTTTATCTCTGCTCGGTCGACTTCTGATTAATGAAGTAGATTAATGAAGTGACTTTTAATAGTTGTTTAAGACAAGATAGAGAAGTGAAGTGATCTAAAGAGAATTAAGTCTGTAAAATAACAGAAAATGTACTGCCAGCTTATAACCAGGTTTTTGAACTGTATTTTACAACACAAACACAGACAAAATATCACTTCAAACTATTAAAAATGTTAACAAAAGTCACTTATCAAACATTAAAAGCTTTTGGGGGATAGATCAAAATCCTATAATGCAATTTAAAAGCATAGTTAAGAAGTTAATATGGAAAATTATTAAGGAAAACTGCTTATTTAAAGATATTTTTACAGTGTACAGTCCTAGTGACAGATTTTGTACCTTTATTTCTGAGAGTGTGGTTTGTTTGTGAAGTTCTGGGTTTCCCTGTGGGAAATTTTCGAGGAATTAGTGAGGAATATAGGCTAAGGGGAACTGGGAAATTGCTTAAACACATGATCCACAGCATTCAGTGCAGATAAACATCGTCTTTATTAGGTCTGTACCTCAATGTCAATATTTCTCAACTTGTATTCATAGGATGAAGTGAATTTGTTATGTACAGAACAAAGAATTTCAGTTTACTCATACAATATTAGTACAATTTTATATCATACAATAACAGTAAAACAATAAAAGCAATTCTAGTAAGTAGTCTATATAAATTCACCACCTTATTGTCAATTTAAACAGTAAATTTACTCTCTATGTTCAAAATGACCTCAATATCCTGTTACACTACAGGCATAGTAACAATTTTCCACTTTTAAATTCAGGCATGTTACATATATTAATAGAATTTATAAAAAATATGTCTGAATACATATTCCATGGTCATTCAGCAACACATACATTTATGAAGTGGTGGACTAAGTACACAAATTATGGTAAAAGTACAGATAGCCTCATAAAATCTTACTCCAGTTGAAATATAAAGTCCTTTTTTTCAATATTACTTGGATCAAAGTACAAGAGTACTTGGTTTTTGAACTACTTCAATAATAAAAATGAATAAAAATGAAAGTATGAAAGTGTTTATTTTGCAAGAAAGTGGTGGAGAAACGATCAAAACGTGGTATACTTTTATAACCACACTGATGATGCATGATAATTCAAGTAAAAACATGTGAAACCACTTTTATACGCTGAACCTCACTCAGATCAGTTTGTAAAATCAGTGAATCATTTACTGGAACCTTGCTCTGTCTGGATCATTTGAATCAATGAGTTGTTAACTGGAGACTCTTTGTGGACAGATCATTTCAATCAGTGAATCATTTACTGGAGACTCATTCTGAATTGATCATTTTAATCAGTGAATTGATAACAGGAGACTCACTTTGAACAGATCGTTTGGATCAGTGAATCATTAACCGGAGATTCACTCTGAACAGATCATTTGAATCAGTGAATTATTAACTGGAGACTCATTCTGAATTGATCATGTTAATCAGTGAGTTGATAACTGGAGATTCACTCTGAATTTATCATGTTAATCAGCAAGTTGATAACTGGAGACTCACTCTGAATTGATCATGTTAATCAGCGAGTTAATACACAACTGGAGACTCACTCTGAACAGATCATTTGAATCAGTGAATCATTAACTGAAGACTCACTCTGAATTGATCATTTTAATCAGCAAGTTGATAACGTGTAACTCACTTTGAACAGATCGTTTGAATGAGTGAATCATCAACAGGAGACTCACTTTGAACAGATCATTTGAATCGGTAAATCATTAACTGGAGACTCACTCTGAATTGATCATGTTAATCATTGATTTTGTTACTGGAGACTCACTCTAAACAGATAATTTGAATCAGTGAATCAATAACTGGAGACTCACTCTAAACAGATCATTTGAATCAGAGAACCATTAGGTGCATTTGACTTCATGCAGCGCTGCGCAGATCGATGGAATTTTTTTCGCAATCAATCGAAAATTTTAAAGCGGTGCATGCTGGTTAGAAATTTTGTCTGGGTTGACGCTGTGCTGACGCCACGTAACTGGTACATGTGGCATCAAAGCATCACGACAGCACTCCAAAGATGCTCTTCAGCAGCATCTGAAGAGTCACTGCTGGAGCTGCGATGATGACACCAATATTACACCATTGGCTGAGTTCACAACATGACAACAACCACATGTGTTTCTGGTTTATTATTGGACAACTTCTGATTCACACATTTCAAAACAGTTAACTTTTCATACCATCTCTAACTTGTATATATCAGGCTTATAAAAATAACTACAAATATTTTACTGCAGTAATCATGTTTTGTTAAATAATCTGGTTATAAAGACTAGATTGTTTGCACAGGTTTATCTTCCACCTTTTTTATAGAGACTATTTACTGCATTCAGCTCCATGAACGATTTAAATATGCCTGCCAAAATGTTTTGATAAATTATTTTAAAGTACTGAATGACATTTTAATGGATACTTAAATCATGAAAAAAATGGTAGAAGTTTTTGCTAGAATATATTTATTACACTTCCATAGTTTTAATGCTTGCAAACCTTGGTATCTTTGACATATTCAAACCGTATGAATTTTTACAAATATACAAGTTATTGACACACAGCAACATGAACAATGAACAAACCTGGCCCAATCAATGTAAGCAATTACTGTGGGTGACGTACATTAGTCAGTAATAGCTTTATCCTATAGTAGAGGAGAGTAAAATGCTAATTACCATCACATAAGATTCTGAACCCAAAATAATATACTTCCCCAGCACTGTTTAGCTTAAATACTCCTTAACTCATTTTTTTCTGTTGCCATATTAAAGGGAAACATCCAATATATAAACAGTGATAAAACATTGAAATTTACACGTTCAAAATATGTGAAGGCCAAAGCAATGGTTTAACATGCCTGTTTTCTGTTTCATTACACTGATTAGCTTATAACAGGTTGCAATGAAAGACTTCCTAGTGACATTCTAAACTAAACCATTAGTGTATAAGGTCAACATGTCCTCAGTCCTTTATATCTATTTATTAGGGTATAAGGTCACTATATCCACAGTTCTTTCTATCCATTTATTAGGGTAGCCTATAAGGTCATCTATCTATCTATCTATCTATCTATCTATCTATCTATCTATCTATCTATCTATCTATCTATCTATCTATCTATCTATCTATCTATCTATCTATCTATCTATCATCTATCTATCTATCTATCTATCTATCTATCTATCTATCTATCTATCTATCCATAGCCTGTTCTGTCTAATCTGTCTGTCCGTCTGTCTATCTATCTATCCATTTATAGCCTGTTCTGTCTGTCTGTCTGTCTGTCTATCTATCAATCTATTTGGCTGTGTAATTCAGTTACCTAATATTAAACTATTAGCCTCACCTATATATACATTTAGTATTATAAAATATTGTAGTATTATAAAATGTTTACCTTAATTGTAAATATAAAGTATAAAGTGAATTAAATTTGATTAGTAAAATATATTTACTAATATTTCATGTATACTACTCGAGATATGTTTGTTTTTATCCTTACCGATGGTAGAAACGACAGTCCCGACAAAATAAAAGGCTCCGGTAAAATCCCAACGCGGTCTGAGAGTGTCCACCCGTATCCCTGCCATGTTCGCCTCTTCATAATGTCTCAAGAAGTTCTCCAGGTCACTTTTGTTGAGGTTGTACTTTTGGCTGAACAGCTCAAACCTCTGAGCCCACCTTTCCTTCGCCAGTTTCTCCTTCGGATGCTCCAGGGCTGAAAACACCGCGGCTCCGCACAGAAGGTAGAGGATGATGAGGAGTAGCAACATGATGAACCGGGCATTATCTTCATTCACTGGACCACAGCCACAACAGCACGAGCCTCTACATGCCATTATGTGACTACTGCTGGACCGGACTGGTAATAAAGTCTCCACATCTTACATTTCACGGCGACAGTGGGCACGAAACTGCAAGAAACTTCCTCGTCTTCCATTATTCTTGGGCTGCATGTACAACAAATGTGTTGCAGATGAGCAATGATGATGATGATGAGAGATGCTCATACCATCCTCTGTCAGTGCATTGAATGCAGGCTGAAATCCTGATGAATGAGATTGTGGGTGGATCTGGTGGTTCGGCTCTTCTCGTGTGATGCATCTCACTGGGTCTCATCGAAAAACCTTATTTAAGTCCACTTTAGTCTCGGGTGAGTCCATCAGGTGGCCGCGTGCATTGCGTTCAATATTTCAGTAAGCATTTAATAGCAGTTTATGTAGGCTAAACTCGAATGAACTCTCTTGACATATTCACGAAGTGACACAGGTTAAATAGTCAGACCTCATTACACGAAGCGCACGTTCCCTGCGATTGAACAAAACTCGGAGCACCGGCGCATGTGGCAAGCCGTTTTAACTATTAGGCTTTAAAAATAACGCATCTATTTTTTTTGTTACCAGTAGCTACTTATTTATCTACTTAACTATTATTATTTATTACTCTAACATTGTAAAAAATCTTTTACAATTTTTCGAATGTATTCCCACTCCAAATTTAGCTAGAATATTTCTGGCAATATCTTACCTGTGACTTTTAATGTATTGAGCAAGAAAATTTTCTAGAATATTTTTTTCGTGGAAAACATCTTTGTTTTTGTTAGATAATAAGTTTTCAATTTCTGAAATAATATTTAAGGTCAATATTTTAATCCCCCCTAAGAATACATATACAGTGCATCTGGAAAGTATTGATAGCGCTTTACTTTTCCCACATTTTTAAATGTTACAGCCTTAATCCAAAATGGATTAAATTCATTTATTTCCTCAAAATTCTACATGCAATACCCCATTATGACAATGTGAAAAATGTTTTTTAAAATTGTCATTAAAAATAAAAAACCTGAAAAATTAGATGTACATAAGTATTCACAGCCTTTGCTGTGAAGCTCTAAATTGAGCTCAGGTACATTCTGTTTTCACTAATCATTCTTGAGATGTTTCAGCAGCTTAATTGGAGTTTACCTGTGGTAAATTCAGTTGATTGGACATGATTTGAAAAGGCGTACACCTGTCTATATAAGGTCCCAGGGTTGGCAGTGCATGTCAAAGCACAAACCAAGCATGAAGACAAAGGAATTGTCTGTAGACCTCTGAGACAGGATTGCCTTGAGGCACAAGGCTGTGGAAGGTTACAGAAACATTTCTGCGGCTCTGGAAGTTCCAATGAGCACAGTAGCCTCCATGATCCATAAGTGGAAGATGTTTGGAACCTCCAGGACTCTTTCTAGAGTTGGCTGCACACCTTAGCTGAGTGATCGGGGGAGAAGGGTCAGGGAGGTGATCAATAACCCGATGTACACTCTGTTTGAGCTCTAGCGTTCTTCTGTGGAGATAGGAAAACCTTTGGTGTACATATTGGGTAGACACTAATAAGCTAAAATAAATATGATCACAGCTGGACTAATACAAATTTGAACCTAGATAATGGAATAGATTTCAGTAAAATCAGAAACAAACAATATATCGATTTAGTTTCTAAGAATAAATGTAAATCCAGCTTGCCACACAATGCCTTCAGCCAAGACTCCCAGTTGAAGCATAAACCCGTCACAAGAGACAGCTATAGCCCGATTGCGCATGCAACTTCATCAGTGTCAGAATCAGAGAGAATAAAATGTTCCTGTGAAGTGTAGACTGACACTCACCCCTGGCTTAGACATATTTTCAACATCACAATTAAGGTATGACATAAAGGAAATGAGTTATGTGTAAGATTTATTTTTTTAGGGAGATAAAAAAGCTTGGTTTACAAATTTCTTTCAAAGAAATATATTACAAGCATACTTACCAACCAAAATGCTTAAAATAAAAAGGTTTGTTTAAGATTTAAAAGAGAATAATAAACAACACATGTTAATTCTGCTTGGGCATCTAAATTCAAACTGAAGCTTGAAAATCTATGAGCACCACTGGGGCCATTATTAGTAATAGCCGGGATGTAATTGGAATAGTTAACACAGTAGTCACTCATTTGAATGGTAAACCTATAATGATAGTAATTATTTCTGCCAGGCTGCTCTGTTAGGAATAAATCTAATCTAATGATCCGAGATCAATATTAAAAAGACCTTTTTAAAATGAAGAAGCGCTCTCTAATATTTATCTGATCAAAGCCTGAAACGCGTCCAACAAATGTCACAGATGGCTGTGCAAGAGATATACATAATTCAGACTGTTCACGGTAAAAGTGAATATTTCAGTTTCGTTATGTAAGATTTAAAAGTTCTACAAGAAAAATGCTGGCTGTAAGATTTCTGTACAGTTGTTTTAGGTCTCAGTTAACCTTCAAATAATGTACAGAATCCCAATAATTGTTTATTTAAAAAAATTAAAATGATTGGGCCACAGGGAATTCCTTTATATCAATGTCGAGCTATAACTTTTCCAATGTTGCCAGGCAACATGACAATTTCAGGACGAGCAAAAACAGCAGCAATTGTTCTTTATTTTGATCACATTGGATATATCAGTGATGCCGGGGGAGCAGAGTCCTCCTCAAACACATTACTGCTTCACTGTAGCTGTAAATAAAAAAATCAATCCGCCCCTGGAGCTCGCCTGAAATTCATTTACAAGGACATGTCCATAGACAAACATTAAAAAAATAAATAAATAAATAAAAAAAAGCCAATTTAAGATGTTTTCACCATTTTATTTGGTCCTTCTTTTATCTTAACTCTATCAAATCAGTCTGAAAATAGATTTGAAAGATTGCCTTTTTTTTGTGTATTGTGCCCTTTTACCTACTGATGTTCATAAAATAAGGTGTAAATACAACTTGTTTAAAGGCTTTTACAATGTTTTTTTTTTCAATGAATGAAAATAGATTGGTTTACTTCTGTTTACCTACATCGCTGGGCTTCAATATAAGCATACTTTCTTTCAACAGAATACAAATCTTACCAATTAAGGCAACCCTGGTTGTCTATTTATAATTGGGTAAACTGGAAGTGGGCTGAGAAACACTGACCAAAACAAAGACAGACATCCTAACCTGGAATGCAGATTTTCAAAGGAGAACAACTGACTTCAGCCAAAGTCCCTTTAAGGCAAGTCATTTCACTCGGCGGCCATCTTTGAAACACCTTTCGGGCAGTATGCTTGGGCATTCTGATTGAATGTGCAAACATCCAATTCTCCAAAATCGCTTGGCAAATTTATGATTAAATTTCATACTCGGAATCACTAACAAAATGAAACAACAATTGTGTCTTTAATTTCATTTCTAAATGTTCGAATCACACAAAATCTGGAGAAACTCACTCATCTCTGGTCTGAGCTCCTCCTCAGGAGAATTGTCAGTGTATAGCAATCGATGATTGGCTCTTGTACTAGAAGGTGGGGCTTCAATCACCATATTACCCATTGAATTTTGCTACATTCAAAACTGTTTTGTGTATTTCATAGTCTTTCCAGAAAAACTATTTTGTTCAATTAGCATGTTTCCTAAATATCTACAAAAGTATTATGGTATTTTTAAGTTGAAAGGCAGCACCAAGCTGATGGTTGGCCATTTAGTTTCGTTGGTCAGGCTAGTTGGTTTGGTGTGTTCCACATGTCGCCTCCCTGATTCAGCATGTAGAATCAGCATCAGACCATTGGCTGAAGAGAGCATTCTAAGTGCACGACTGTGAGGTAGTGAAGCAACAAAGCGAGTAAACTTTAGGTGCGTTCGACTTGAACCACGGCTGCAGCTAGCAATCAACCAGATTAGCCGAGCACAGGTGGAGCGGAGCTGCAAATGAGGCTGTCAGGTCGGACACCTCGAAGCTCATAGTTCTCTGCATTATCACAATTCACATGGCGAGATCAATGATTTATTATTTATTGATCCAATCACATTAATCCAAAAAGATTGAACAAAAGGACAATCCTAAATAAGCGAACTACACTTTCAGTGGAAATTCCACAGAAAAGGCAAGATATATCAATGTTACTTTTAAATTTCTTTTAATTTTTAATAGTTTGACAGGATAAAACTGTTTTATAAAAGTATTAATTATTTTAGAACTATTTTATAGTTTTTTATAATTATAATTATTTATCACATTTTGTTAAGAAAACGTTATGGGGTGGCATGATCAATGATGACTATTATACTAGTCTGTAAGACTTATTTGAGTTGATATTTGGTTATTCGCTAAAATATACATCATTTAAATCGTATATGGAGCTATATACAGTAAGGGTCTGTATAAAATGGACAAAAATAAACCTATGCAAACAATCTAGCCTTAATAAACAAATATTTAAAAAAAGATTTACTTTAGTAAAATACCTGAAGTTTTTTAATAAGCTGGATATATACAAGATAGAGATAGTATAAAAAGTTAACTGTTTGTTTGGAAGTTTGTGAGATGGAAGTTGTCCAATAATAAACCTGAAATACACGTAGTTGTCGTCATCCCGTGAACTCAGCCAATCGTGTAATACCGAAGTCTTCATCGCAGCTCCCGCAGTCGCTCTTCAGATGCAGCATCGGCTAATCTCGGTACTTTAATGCCACATATGATATTCACATGCCGAACAAAACTTTTAACCATCATGCACCGCTTTAAGACAGATTTCGATTAGTCTGCGCAGCGCTGCATGAAGTCAAACGCACCTATTAATTTGTCTGTGTGCGTCGGAAGTTCGGTTTCCTTTTGCAGAATGCTAAACCAGACTGCTGGCCCCCACTGTGTGGTAACGCAGAATGTGGCTCTCATTTTAGTTGGCTTTTGTCTGTTTGCTGTGTTTAGGCACAGCTATTTGATCCAGATGCGAGGCAACAACACAGTTGGGTTTCATTGAAGCTAGTGTTGTTTGCTGTCGGCTTGGTGTGTCCTGGCTCTTAGAAGAGTCAAAAACTTACCAACAGCCCTTTTAAGACAAAGGAAAACACTGCTACTGAAAAAATGATTACATAGTTCAGTGTTTTCTTTTGTTTTTGAGAGAAAAAATAAAACTTTGTAACCTTTTAAATTTGTGAAGTTTATTTATAAACTAATTTGGAGAGGATCACGTGTTTATGATTGCTTGCAGCTGGCCCCGCATTATTCAATTCATGATACACCAATCAGACGATTCCTAAGCCACTATAAGTGCCATATGACAGTCATCTTCGTTTTGAAGAATCCACCATTTAACCCCTCCTCCTTTTCTAGATGTGTGGCACGGTGGCCCAGTGGTCAGCACTGTTGCCTCACAGCAAGAACGTCACTGGTTCAAGTCCTTATCAAGCCAGCCAACATTTCTGTGCAGAGTTTACACATTTCCACTGTGCTCACAAGGGTTTCCCCCGAGTTCCTTGGTTTCCTCCCACCGTCCAAAAACATGCAACTTAAGTTAATTTACTAGGGAGCGCCGGGCTCGAGGACATTATAAGCTCAGGGCTTTTTCCCTTTAAAGCATGTCAAACAAGCTTTATAATCCATCATCATCTAAGTGTGAACTTTTGAATTATCTTTGGGTGAATTAAAAGCTGCTGAACTAAAGTAATGAATGTTATTTTATAAAAAAAAATTAACTAAACGCTTCATAAAATATATAAAGATTTTTACAGAAGATAAATTTGATGTAGAAACAAATTTCTTGACAACTTATTTCTTTAAAATAAAAAAATAAAAGTTATAAAATATAGTTGAAATTATTAGCCACTCTTTTTTTTGTTTTTGATAATTTCCTAAATGATTTTCATCAGAGCAAGGAATTTTCCACAGTATTTTTTGAAATTTTCTTCTGGAGAGTCTAATTTGTTTTATTTTGGCTAGAATAAAGTTTTTATATATATATAAAAAAAACATTTTATGGTCAATAATATATATATATATATATTTTCGATTGTCTACAGCAGGGGTTCCTAAACATTTCAACATTTTCATGATCCCCAAAATGACAATGCCAGTGACTCGCGACACCCAATACCCAATAGTCTATTCTTCGTTTAATTTTTTTTAATGTATGTGGGTGCTGTAAATGGGCCAGAAAGTTTAACCTGGTGTCATAAAATCCATCTGCTGCATCTGACGCCATTGGTGTGTCATTAATATAATGTAATTACCCCAGGGGTCGCAATCCAATAGAACTAGTAACTATAAGCTACTGTAGTATGTAGTATATAGTAACTATAAACTACAAATTTTTCCCTTTATTAGGTTATGGATAAAATATGGTAATTCTATTTGCGACCTACCATCATTGCCCTTAGGGGGTGCCGACCCCCACTTTGAGAACCACTGGTTAACAGAACAAACCACTGTTATACAATGACTTGGCTAATTACCCTAACCTGCCTAATTCACCTAGTTAAGTCTGTAAATTGCTCTTTAAAGTTGCTGTATGTACGTTTTTGACTTTTAAAATCACTTTGCATGTTTCTAAAATATCTCCAAACATATTATGCTATTTTATGAGTCAAAAACTGAAAAACCAGCCCTTTAAGACAAAGGAGAACACCGCAACTGAAAAAAAAGATTACATAGTTCGGTGTATTTTATTGTTGTATTTTATTATTATGTTTTTTTTTACAAAAAGCATTTTATTAAGTAATAACTATACACTATCGTATCTATAACTATAACCATAACAGTATTATAGTGTATTTCTAACAACTACTGATATCAAAGGTAAAAGCATGTAATTTTAAAGCTTATATGACGAACTGAACAGACCCAGAAAGAGATGCTGATGATCTGATTTCCATGTTAATACGATCTTGTTCAGATGGTCTCAGCAGCTCAAGAAGGCACCCATACATTTCCATGAGTGTCTGGTGCTTGAGTGTATGGAATGTTCCAGATCCAAGGCCGATCTGCAAGGAAAAAAAAAACCTCATAAATGCAAGAGCAGATATTACTGGAAACGGAATCATTGGAAACTCATTATGCTTTGTGAGATGACGCAGGATTACATGTTTGCTTCAGGCCAACAATGACTCCTAGAGAGAAGTGAAGGTTCTGACCTCTCCATACTTACCTGTGGCATTAATACTGTAGCGTGTAGACTGTATCTGTATGGAGGATCACGATCAAACTGTGCGCTTTACTAAATAATGAATTGCAGGATACAGACTTCTAGAAAGACTGTAGACCAGCGGTATCCATGGTAACTAGTTGACACAACTGGAGTCAGTCACAAAAACAACACATCAGTTAAAATGCCAATGAAAAGCACATGAAACTAAATGATTTGGAGGATCTGTCAAACGGTTTTGTGTAAAACATGTTTATAACTTACTGGAAAATGGGAGTGAGTCACTTTCCACAAAGGAGTTTTTTTCAACTGAGTGAAATTGAGGACATTACAGTCAGTCATCAAAACATTTGCCTTCAAATGTATTTATGCGAGTGATGAATATTTGGTGTAATGTACTAGAGATGTTTGAATAAATCATTGGACTGCTTTATGGTTAAAACATGCCCAGTCTTTATTTGGGTCTTAAAGGTACAGTTCTACCTAACTTCTACTATATATGTCAATAGCTATGTTTCCATTCAAAGATGAAATTAAATTTATACCCAAAACAGGAATATTGTATATAAGATGTGAAAATAAAGCAGTTTTTTCATCCAACGAGTCAAAGAGAACGAAATGGTCACTTTTTAATAAACTGGTGCCAAAGATCAAAAGTAAAAACGGAATTTGCTGTGGTAGGACAAGGTGTGTCAATCTATTCTTTATTTTAAAAAATTACTTGCGCCTCAGAAGACAATGCGCATATGCAATGAATGTGTGATGGCGTTTGAGAACAGACATTCTTGATTCTGGAGGTAATTTATAATATAATAACACTTTAAAGTGTTTGAAGCCATGAGATGCAGAGCGCAGACACTCTTAACAGTTCTGAAGGTAATTAATAATATAATAACACTAATACTAAAATGATTCATGTATTATATAATGAGCAAAACAACACTGTAGATGTTTTACAGTTTGCTCAACCTGCTGGTTTGTCCATTCACACATTTTGATCATCACATGATCTCTTATAACAAAATCACGTGACGTTTTTTAATACTGAAAATACTTTAATACTGATTGTTGTTCAGTAAAAGTGTTTCCATCGTAGTTTATGCGCATCTTTTCTTATTGAATAAAACGTTTATCCTACTCAGTTATGCTTACGTTTTTTATGCACATTTTCAGAACTAATGCCCATCTTGGTGTTTCCATGAACCAAATTTTTTATGCGCATATCCAAAATGCTTATAAAGATAGGTGGATAGAAACATAGCTATTGGCTAGCGGTCTTTAAAGTATATCCTTTTGTTTTTGAGAGAAAAATCAAACTTTGTAACCTTTTAAATTTGTATCCTTGGGTGAATTAAAATACTGTCGATAAAGAAAAGAAATTGAAGAAACAAATTTCTTGGCAACTAGCTGAACAAAAGCAAAGTATGTTATTTTATTTAAACATTAACAACACTTTATAAAATATATAAAGATTTTCACAGAAGATAAATTTGATGTAGAAACAAACTTCTTGACCACTTTTTTTTTTTTTATTTAAAAACTAAAAACTATCAAATACAGTTGAAGTCAGAATTATTAGCCACTCTTTATTTTTGTCTGTAGTTTGGCTGTTTGCACCAGACAAAACACGACAGAAATTTAAATACAGCCATTCAGAAGGACAGAATATGCACTCACTCAAGAAATGATAAGGTTTATAATCTAATTAATACATATTAAACCTCATTAACATTATTAAATGCAGATGCTGAATCGCTGATATGTGTTGGCTTGCACTGAGTCACAGTTCTAAAGGTGAATTTCAAACGGTTTATTTTCAAGATCTGAGGTAAACCATCTGCTGCTCTTTTCATTAGTATGGCAATAAATGTCATGTAAAATGGCATTCAAACTCATATTGTTAGCATTTAACACTGAATAAAGCACAGGAGGAATACATGAGGTGAGCATTTTCAGTTTTCTGTTGTTCAGCTGCAAGAAATAGAAGCGGTTTCTAATATATCAATTCAAGGTGTTATTTAGGACAAAAACTAATTTTAATATGGAGAATTTTCCTTTTATTGCATGTCGTTGCTTTTATATAGAACACAGTTTTAATTAGCCTTTAGGCTCGATAGTCAGACTTGCTCCTGTCGGTCAATCTGGCAACCTGCGCTTGGATTTGTTTTGATTCAGGAATGCAATACCTAGTTCAATCACTGGGTTTCAAACTTACATACTGCACCTTTAAGTTAAATACTAGTGTCTGAAAAATATCTAGTAAAATAATATTTACTGTCATGATTGCAAAGAAAAAAAGATATCAAAGTTAGTTTTTAAAAATATTATATTTAGAAATGTGAAATTGGGAAAAAATATTCAGTGGGTGCTAATAATTCTGACTTCAACTGTATATACAAATTTTCAAGCAACTTAATTTTTAAAAATGTAATATTGTAAAATAAAACAGACCGTGACCCTGTAATGACTTGTTCAGATGAGTTGTAGTCATCACTGCCTTAATAATTTAATTAGCACAACAAATTCAAGAACCTTCAATAATGACAGACAGTCTATTCCTCTAACAGCAGGAACACACAGCGGTAGGGCTATACACAGACATTCACATCCAGGCTTAATTGTTGCCTGGAACCACATCAATATATGTGAAGACGCCAAAACTCATCAAAACCTTCCATACTCCAGAATTGGGTGCATAAAAATGCCCCGTGACTTACAAAATTAATCATCAGTGGGTAAAAAACGTGCAGACATTTATGTTTAGTATTTTATTTGTGGCATTATTTTATTTCTGGCACCTTTTTTTGATTGGACAGTACTTTTTTGACAGGAAGTGAAGAGAGAGATGCAGTGATTGGGAAATGTTTGTGATTTGGTACTCAAACTCACAGTTATGCTATATGCTGGTGCACTGACCACTAGGTTATCTGCGCCAACAAACACACATATCTTTGATGAGCTAATCTAGCCCTGCATATTTGAAAAACTGTTCATACGTGCTCAAGCTAGGGAAAGTGGCTCATTGTCACTGACATAACAGAATGTGCAAATGACACTAAAACTGCAAGCAACCTGACCCAAAGGAAAATGGTTTTACTGTAAATAATCAATCAAAGAAAGAACCAATGATTGCTAATGTAATTATCACGTTTAATGAATAAAATACAATGTGTTAATATGTGACATGTACACACTGGTGCAGCATGTGTGTGTTTATATGATCAAAATAGTTTTAGTTAATGCTTTTCTCGGTTCACACATCAGAGGTGGACCATTGTGTCACTCACTATCTCTAGATTACTCATGATATGTTTTTCGCCTTGAATGAATTTTTGTGTGAAAGTTGAATATTTTGAATGAGCACTGATTATGTTATTGAGGTAAATTCCATACATTTGCAGTAAACACTTTGTAATTGACCTCTATTTGCGCGTTTACATTGACTGTGTATGTAATTTACTCATGTGAATACCTAAATTCATGTTTAGTGTGTAGTGTATTATTTTCTTTCCAAATGTGCAGAGAATATTGCACATATTAAAGAGATAGTTCATACTAAAAAAGAAAACGACTCCACCATTTACTCTCCCTAATGTGGTTTTAAACCTTTATGAGTTTTTCGTCTGCTGAACTCAAAAGTTATTTTGAAGAGTGCTGGTTGCTGGTACTCATTCACTTCGATAGTAGGATAAAAAAAAGGCAATTGGTGTCACAGCAACCAAGAGAAGAAAGAAATTCAAATAGGCTTTGAACTAGTGAAGGATGACAACGATTTCATTTTTGAGTGAACTATTGCTTAATGTGAAAAGGCCAACATTTACTCATGAATGTCCGTAGTGTGGTAAAGGCTAATGTCATCTAATTATTAGCCTTGTTAAGCCTTTACTCCATGAGGGTAAAATTAACATTTTACAATGTATTAGTTGTGTTAGATGATATGCTAATGGATAATCAGATAATTAATGATCCGACTAATTACTAATAATCCACAATAGACACAACACATCAGTAAACCTCTTTTCAAGAGTTCACACTTAGATCATAAGATCCTCGTGCGCCCGGGGCTGCCTCCCATTTGAAGGGCGAGGGGGAAGTTTGAGCTTTGGTAGGTCTCGAGAACTCCCCTGCTTATTTATGGCTAGTGGCAAATTAGGAACTGCTATGGAGAGATGTATTGCTAACTAAGAGCTCATCCTAATTATTTATGACTGCACATGCTTTCCGAAAGCAAGACAGACTTACCAGTGCTGAGTTGTAAGACCCTATATTGATGACTGGGTGAGGACGCGTCCACGGACCCACAGCACACAGTATTTAGCCATTCATGTAGGTTCGTATGTGATTATTTCCATGATCCATGGGGTTTGTTGCATGTTTTTCCCCGCGATCCTGTCAGGGTCGATACAGCAAAGCTATATGTGTCCAGCAAGCATTTTTTGTCGGGAGAGCAGTACGAGAACTGGAGAATGGCGGACTTCATCTTTTATCAGTGGAGTTTGTTCACATTTAGACACATCGCCGTGCTGCTGAGTTTGCCTAAATCCTCCAGATTCCCAGCAGGGCTAATGGTTGCAACAAGCAGGGCAAGAGACTTGCTGCATTGAGTCTGCATTCAGACCAGTGTATTGAGGGAGAAGTCTTCATTTTTAGTGTTTATATGAACATGATTATCTTTATAATGATATAAATTGTGGTTATCTGTATATGAAATTACGAATAACAAAAGTAGCAGGGCATTAAATTAATGTTTATTTCTTTGAATTTCAACTTTGTAAACTATAGGGTCATGCATCTACTCACAGTTTGTCTCATTTTGTGAGCCGACTGACTAAAGTTGTT